GAGATACGCGCATATAATGCTCGGATAATATTCTCATAATTTTAGGTACACCTATCCTGAGTAGATAGTCCCAAAGTGCATGTCTATCCACCGAATCGAATGCACCTTTGATATCGATGAACACGACAAGAGTGGGCCGCCAATAGGTGTGACAGTGCTCCAACAACTGACGCAAACTGAAGATGTGGTCAATGCAGCCGCGACCTAGACGAAATCCGGCTTGCTCTTCACGAATCTGGCTTTCACGAGTGTCGGTCAGTCTGTGAAGGATTATAGAGGCAAGCAATTTGGAGGCGATGGAGATCAGACTGATTCCTTTATGGTTGCCGCATTTCGATTGTGAGCCTCCCTTGGAAATTGGCACTATGACGGAGCGACTGCAGTCGGTTGGGACAGTTTCCTGCTCCCACAGTTTGACAAGTAACTCGTGTAAATCATCCACAAGAGAAGGTTCCCTGAATTTGAAGTCGGCTGGAGGAAGATCATCAGGTCCCGCGGCTTTATTGAACTTCAACATTCCGATCTCAAATTCGACTTCTGAGCGAGAGGGTGGATCCAAATGGACAGCCCAGGGAGCGGGGCGATCAGTGGCCGGCGAGAAATCTAACCATTCCGACCGATTAAATTGCCTTTCAAGATGTTCAGCGCAAAGCTCCAAGCGTTTTGACAAATTGTGGATAGGCTGTCCACTCTCGTCACGTATAGTTTCACTAACACCAGGTCTCCTGCTGCCCGTTTCCCGTATCAGACGGGATAACTTCCGATGGGTACCAAGAGCAGCGGCCATTTCCATCTCTGTTGCCCGATGAGCCCACCGGGATTCGCAGTCTCTCTTCAGGCTAGCACGGAGTTTTGCCCGGAGCTCTTTGCGAGTTTCATTGTGTTCGCTTCCAGCCGGAATATGCCGGCGAGCATCGATAAGTTCCAAAGACTGTGAAGAGACCCAATGTCCATGTTGGTGTTTAGACATACCACATGAGGATTTGCCTGCTGCTAGTATGGACTGGTGAATAGGAGACCAGTGAGCTTAAATTGCATCCAGTGAGCGTTTATCCAACTCGCATGACAGCGTGCTTTGATAGGCATTCAGAACAGCTGGCTTCACCAGTTGGCTGGTGTCAGTGCGCTCCCAACGTCGTCGTGGGCGTCCTCCAAAGCGCATCCGCAGGTTAGCACATACAAGTGCATGGTCGGTGTCCACACCTGTGCTCCAAATCGAGCGACAGTTCTGGACGCAGCTTCTCCATCGGTAACTTATCGCAATGTGATCGATTTGCGTCCAAGGCTGGTTCGACGTTGGTGGGCGCCAAGTCACCCTCCGACGGGTGCTGTGTCCGAAATTCGTGTGCTCGTAAGAAATAAGCGAGCATCCTTACACAAATGAAGTAACCGCTCACCGTTATCATTACGGGAGCCTATACCATGTTGGCCGCCCAGATGCAGCTCATCTGTGGATAATTTTCCAACTTGAGCGTTCAGATCCTCAGCCAGCACTACAGTGTCCGAGCTTATTCTGTGGCTAAGGAGCTCGTTCAGTTGACGATAGACGTCGTATTTTACCGAGTCATCGCTACAGTTTGTCGGTGTATAGGCAGCGATAACGAATAGACACCTATTAGTCCCACGCGATTTCGAAGTTTTGCACGAGCCAGTCAATCGGACCGCACACATCCGGCTACTGATTGGAATCCAATCAACCAGAGCAGTTTCAGCCCGGGAACTCAGAGCAGTACCAACACCAGCTTGGCCGGTGCTCGAAGCTGCATCGTCACCGGATAGGCGCAATGCGAAAGTGCTGCTACTGTCACCCAAGGGGATCGCAGAGGGAGTACAGAGCTCGAGTCTTGCAGGCGTATCTCTGATAAGCAGCAGATATCGATCGAGAGGATCTCCAATGTTCGAGCAAGTGCTGCCTGTTGACCGATCTGAAGCAATGTGCGAACATTGAGGCATGCCAATCTGAAGGAGGAACGAGGGCTCCAAATGGAAGCCAATGAACTGGGCTTGACCGCTTGGTTGGACATGGGCCTGTTGACAGGGCAGGAATGACGCTCCGCGTTCACATGTGAGTTGAAACTAAAAGACAAGCGACTATTGAAGCAAGGTGGGGGAGGGCCGAGAATTGGGGGGTTGAAAACTGGGGGGATAACAGTGAAGCTGGAACGGGACGATAAGGGTGAAAAAGCGCAAGAGGGGGAATAAGAAGACGGGAAGGCTTGAGTAGTAGCATCCAAACCCCTATCCACCCTGCTCGATGCAGCAGATAGGGCACCGTTGATTATCCTCTGCGGTGGCCAGAGCATCAGAAATTTGTTTGGGGAAGGATTCATTGTATTGCGTGGGCAGGATACTGTCAGGTTGCCCAGGCCTAGACAGGAGAACGATTAGGGTTCTCAACCAAAGCCTTTGGTTCAAAGCCTGTCGGCAAGGCAGCGGGTTTGGCATTGGGCTACAAGGAGTCCGTTTTAAGGAATAAGGAGCCACCCTCATTCCAACCCCCAACCTGGAGGATCAGGAGGCTGAGTTTGTCCGGCCTCTAACCATTGACCAATCTGGTATGAGTGAATCTGAAGGTGCAAAAAATGCATCACCCAGTACAGATCAATCGATCACTGAGGCACACAAACCATCGCACCACGGTAAGGTCCAGCCTCATTGCGATGGGCTGCTCTCAGTACGTCTAGATGAATGGTATCGATCCCCTGCGAGCTGTGTTTGCGCAGGGACGTCAGTTTCTGCCATACAGCTTCAGCGGTAAAAGAGATGTGCGTGAGTCCTGGCGAAGGGGCGAAATAGCCAGTAGGTTACTTGATGGCAAGGTAATATGAAACTTAGGGCGTATTACGTCCGCAATGCGTTTGCTGCTTCTACAGCCGTTCTTGTCGGGCCAGCTAAGGTTCTCAGCGGCGGAATTCCTTGTCTCACCTTCCATAGGCCATTGGCGTGCTTGTACAGTAGTTTGTTGTCAGCACTGAAGGTTTTTCGATGTTCTGCTGATATGCGGCTTTGCCTTCTTAGCAGTTACGTGCAGTGGTTACGCTGGGCTACGTAGTTGTCCCAATTTGCTGGTAATGGAGCTTCTCGCTACACTAGCCATGCTGCATTACCTACTGTCATCCATTTTTGAGTTCTGCTTCTAACGAAAGAAACTGATGTACACTTATTGCAAACACTTATCCCTGAAGCCTGTGCAATCAGCTGACTGAATTTGTTGACGAACGCGAGCCAGGCGACTTTCGGGGGTTCTTCGGCAAGGAACAACCGTTGTAGCTCTGACGAGCTGGGCTAGGCGATCGCAGCTAGTGACGATTCGCACAGGCTCATCGTTCTTATTCCGATATATGGCATAGCAAACGAAGTTGAAATTGATCACTGCAACCCAACGGACGGTTTTCAGATGAAACGGCATACATATGCTCCTCGTTGGTAAGCACAAGATGCAGCACAGATGGCCTGTTACCTGTTCTGAACCGAGTGGACAAAGTGGTGTGTTTTTAGAGCGGTACAGTGCTAACCAGCTCTTGCAGATCGACTTCAACTTTTTCTCTGATCGTGACACTGGTTTCTAAACAATGTACTTTGAAAGCACTCATTATAAGGATGTGATTTTATCTTCTCTTTAGGGTGCATCTTAAAGCAGCCGCTAGGTGGCAGTCGGTTTCCGGTGTAGAGTTAGGGGGCGGTACACAAAGACAATGAAGCCAGCGTCTCTGCAGTTTATCTGCAAGCGGCATTAAAGACAGTCGGGGAACTGCGAGTCTGAATCCACCACGGCTTCACACTGTAAGTTGCTTCGGTAATACAGAATAACCCATCCTTATTTTGTGAGTCTATCGTTCCGGATGAGCGACCTGACTGGTACGAAATATCAGCGTCAGCCAGTTCCTTGTGTAATCACATCTTAGTGACACCGATGATATCATTATGACTCAAAATTGGGTGATATTTCAGTTCGGACAAGATATTGCAAAGACCTTGAGCATTCATATCTAAGCAGACTAGTTTCTTGGTCTCTATGAGTCCACAGAGTACTAAAGAGGTCAAGTGAAGAAGAATGCCGATCGATGGGAGTTCGGTCGTTACTCGTATTTTGGTGGGATATTGATAACTCGTCTGTAACTCGATACGATCAAGACGCGTAGAAATCTTCGTCTAGATCTAGGTCAGAGTCGAGTGAAGGAGCAGTCAAGTTAAACTTCTGTATCAACGCCGGCACGTTTGCTGCTTTAACTGTTTTGGTAGTTCCACTTTGCAAAATTTCCGCAACCTTTAGACGAAGTTCGAAAGGAAGACTTTCTCCATCTATCCGCCATCAATCCAAAACATCCCTTACTGTTTGTCCTGATTGCGCCACAAGGTTAGGATTGTTGGGTCGCATCCTCCCTTAGTTTGTGACAGGGGTGGCCTGTTGACTGATCGCACCACAACTTCGTCCGAGGAAATTGTTTCACGAAAGAACTGTCATTCTTCTTAATCTTGTTTTACCGCCTCTTGAATATTGAAAGAAGGAAACTGTGACACGCCATGGGTGAATATCGCGTTTACGCAACCTTGCTAGCTGTGTAATTTTTCAGTGTTGCTCTTGAATTGTCGCACGCTTCAGTACACATAAGGATAGATGCGTACTCCATAGGAGCCGTATCGTAGCGCAGTTGCAGAAACGAAACGTTTTTCTCATCAGTAGTGGATGTGAGTGTTCCTCGAATAAGTCCGTCTTCTCCAGAGTGTGCCGAGTTCGAATGATGCACAATCCTTAGAAGGTTTATGAGTTTGGTTTTGACGCTTATCAGAACGTACAAGGAGTTCCATTGATCTTGGTCGTCCAATACCTTACCACGCAATAAGATGGCGGTAGATTCAGGGACTTTGAGGCACGCAACAGTCTTATCACTATTGTTAGACGGTTTTTTTTGTTGCGCTGCAAGGTAGGGTAATCGTTTGTCCTGTCATATTGACAAATGCTGATTTCGTACGGTTTGTCTCTTCATGCGCTTTTACAGTGTTTACAATGGAAGAAAGCGCAACGAAGGCCCCGTAGCTGACTTTCGGAACAATTGATGCATATGTAACTGATGTCCCTGAGGACTGGCTCAACAAAAGACCTTTAAGCTGCAGGTGCCGAGGGTTGTAGTTTGACTGCTGGATCCTGTTAATGACAGATGTAAGGTCAAGGTAATCTGCTTAACCAGACGTTTTGGGTTGTGTGTTATTTTCATTGCTATTACTACTGCTTGACCCTCGTAGCTACGGTTAATTTTGCCAGGTATTCTGCCAAAGTTGGAATAGACAATGTCGATGGAGTCCCGACTGACTGTGGTTCAGGGGAAGCAAATGTCGAAGCGTCCGTTTACTTAGAGGACAATACGCTTCCGTTCTGCAGACTCACTTCCAATGAACTAATCTCATCGCTTATCCACTGCTCGGCTTCTGCGGTTACCCGATCGCACATCTGGATAGGTTAACCGTCCAGTGAACTAATGGGATGGACAAACACGTAGTGCAGAACCAAAGGACAGCTTGGGAGGTATTTTGCTGTCGTACCTGTTGATAGGATAAATTTGCAAACGTTGGATGATACCAGTTGAAAAAATGCTAGCAGGATAAAGCTAACTTACTTGCTTGATGACAAGTTGGCAACCCTCAGATATCCTTTGCTAGAAGCATTTTCATTTTCCTGTTTTCTTGAGTTATACCATTCGGAGTGTTGCCGCTACCTGACCCAGAGCGTTGGTTAATGTTCTGTACACTAGTATCTTTGTTAACGGCACACTTCGGTCAGGCAAAGGTTATAATTGCCATGTTAAATTAACGGTCGGCTCGGCTGCACGATCAGTGTGCTGGTTTTGCAGGCGCACTGTTTGGCAAGGTCACAACGTATGGCGAGGGACCGGGCTATCGCTCAATTCCGATTGTATGCAGGGGAACAGTAAGGCATCGCAAAACGTGAGACAGCGAAGGCAACTAGTAGTGAAACACTATTTCCAGTTAACTTAATCACACTTAGAAAACGCTTTTGAATAAGTGTAAAAAATCCAGGATATACTTGAAAACCGAGGTGTTTTTGCGTGGATAGAAGCGACAAATCCGTCACAAACGTGGACTTAAATCGGACATTGATGAGATAATATACTAATGTACTAAGAGCTGCCCACCTTGTAGAGCTGATACATCCGAGTCGTATGAATGTTTGCACAATGATTTGTAGCAAGCTTGTGATGGATAATTAACGAAGAGGCAAGAGCGACGGACCTGCACGTCCGCGGGACAGCACAGCGAAGAACAACCATCATTGGAATGTGTGGTCCCCTACACGAGTAGAAGCTGGGAATATTCAATGGAAGATATCGCCGATTACCGACGACCTGATAATGCCATGCTTGAATTTACACAATCCAAGGCATGTGTGCCGCTCTTTACTGCGACTTAGCATAAACACAAACCGGAAATGTTCCACATTGAAACTAACAGAAGAGTACGGATACCAAGTGTGTTACAGAGAAGTCCTTTCTATTCGCCTACGTCACTCGTGGAATACTGTCCCCAAATCGGTCGTATCTGCACCGACATTAGCCTATTTTATTGCATAGCACCATCTCTCACTTCTATTACTGGGACATATGTTGGATTTAATAGATGCCAGTTGTTGGTGCAATGTAACCGTGAGGCTTTCAAGACTACAGTAGAACAAAAGACGAGCCCTACTTTTCACACTTACAACACTAACTGTTTCTAATAACCTTCCCCGATAGCCCTACTAGACCACGCAACGGGAGTTGCAAACCAATGACGCTTATTTCAAATAAAGTTATTGTTCTACTAGGACATTATCACTCACAGGCCATTAAAATTTTAATTGTTTATTGTTGCTTCCCCCGTTGGCTTCTCGGAAATGTGCTAGACAGCCATTTCGTTCTAATTGGGCTTGTAAATAGTGCGCAGTTCCCAGTTTCATGCATAAATGTTAGATAAAGCCCAAACCAGAGGTCCGTCAAACATTTGCCCGTACGGTTTTCTACTGCTCCGTCGTAAGTAGCTGCCGTTGTGGGAAGACATGACTCTGTGTGTGGTCAGCCCTTTAACTCTCGTCACTTGCATAACAGTGAGGTGTGAATCAGGCTTTATCGTAGTTGACTTGTAAGACGTAACGTTCCGCACCATCGCCCGGAGAATCGTACCGTAATCTTCTGATTAGTGGTGCAAGGTATTAATGCAGACGGCATGAACTCATTTCATTGTGGAGCCGGGGTTTCATACTAAAGGCGCTGCATAGCAGAACGAAATGGCCTGTTAGTGCTTGCCTGGATATGGTAAAGTTCACACACACCACCAACTACTCATCTAGAAATGAGGGCGACTTGCGTAACTGTTCAGTTGTCAACCCAGTAGATAACCCGCTTGGTATCCCTACCAACATCTTACAGATGCCTAGCGGAGCTTACAGATTCGGTATTAAATCATATCAGAATAATAAAGCCGCACAGTTATTGAGCTCTAATGGAATGAAAAAACAAAATCTGAAATTGTACTATTCCCAGACTGACCATATTTTCCATTACGAGTGCAAATACAAGGCCATCATTGAGACATGCAAAACAGTCAACCAAGTCGAATTTGCCACTCAGCTTTAACTACCACAACGTAGTGGTTAAGGCATGATAGCAAAGTCTACTGTGAATGTATTACACTCTTGGTCCACGGAGTTGGTCATGTACAAGCCAAAACATGGCACAACGCCCCAGAACCGAGTACAAGCGTGGTTGCATAGTAAATTATGGTGGACCATAAGAACTGTTAAGAACTGAAGTCGTGCTACATAGTCACTAGTGAGTGCTCTAATACCCAAATGGTATAAGTAAGCTGACCAACTTTTTCCAACTACTATCATTGGCGATATTCATACTAGAATTTAGCCATAGTTACTGAGGTCGTGAGCAAATGCTGTAAGAAGCTGAAAATCAAATCGCCATTAGGTGCATGAACAGTTGAGAACGGTGGGTTTGCGATTGGGAACCGCAACTGTCACGGAGTCGAAGCCGCATGTCCTTTGTTTGCGACCTTACGTTTTTGATGAGTACTTCCTACGATGATCCTGAATGTTGTCCAGGGTACTTAGATGAAACATTCCGTCCCCATTCTCATCTGTTTTTATTGTCTCCTATGAACTGAGTCCTTACGGTTCTGTGACAGCGTGACATTGCTTTGATGATGCGGAACAGTGAGCCGATTCAAATCAACTAAGAACCGCAACCCAGATAACGTGGCAACGTCATCACAATGCCTAGCTGTTGTACATCTGCAGTGTACCAGTGGAGAACATTTCCACGTATTGGGCTACTGAGTCGTATTGTTTCGATTTCTATGAGTCCGCCACCGTTGCAAATCTATAGACGCCCACTGTGTTGGGCCAAAAGCAGATGCTACTGCGTGAAACGTAAGTAGTATAGAAGTACAAAGAAAACCAGATGATAGCGGGACAACAGTGAACCACACTAATGCCCCAACAGAAGAACATTTGGGTGCCACAGATGTGTGTACACTAGGAATAAGTACAGAGAGAGTACGCAGTGCGCGGCCTCCTGGAAAGCGTTTGAAATCAACTCGAACGTTTGGTGGTCAGAACATGCAAATGGTCGATGATATTTGCCATAACAGATGGAACAATGGTGTATTACGGGTAAAAAAAGAGGCTGCTTATCAATTTCCGTAGGATGGCCAGTATGAGCACCGCAACATGATGAAAGGAAAACAATGTGCTAGATGAAAATGGTTTGGGTGGGTTCACCACAGTGTCTACTCAGAGGCATGTAGAAAGGAACCAACTTCCATTGTGTAGGTTAGTGCAGATTACGCAACGTTTGTTAGATTAGATCGTTTGTCGATGTACACTGGCCGTATCTCGTAAAGTAGGTGGGTTAGGTCAACCTCAAGAGGTCTTTTAAACACATACTGTGGGGGCCTAAACAATGTACATTGGAGGGCGCTCCATGGCTGTCACACATGAAGAGTGTAAACGTTTCGTTGGTATTCTACTCGACTGTACTGCGTAGCTAAATTGAGTTGGTAGCCCCGCAAATTCGTTCGTACCTTGTGCTCTTGTAACAAAAGTTTTTGTTCTGACCGAATTTGATTTCAACACAGAATAGCGAGTACCTGCACGGGCTCTTAGTACCAACCAACTTCACTTGACAAACTAGGTGACCACACAGCAACTACGTTTACCTTATTCTACTGAATTAAACAAACACCAACAAGAAATCAAACATGCCCCGAAACATCGCCGCAATATGACGGTTTGGGCAGATTCTGAGGAGCTCTGTTACAAGGAGAGCACCGACCAAATCGGGACTATTACAAACGGGACCCACCATTTTAGTGGGTGGCAGCGGCAATCAGGAAGGTTATTTTAAATCACGGATTTTGTGATCGAATTGCAGCACGCAATCACACGAATAATCGCTGTTCATGTTTGAGTGCATTTCAGTCAATTTGATCACTAACTCTGTCACATTACTCTGTCTCATTAATCCTGATCTCATTATGGCGGACCGGATACTGCACCTGGGCCCCTTCCATAGGTTGAGGCCGCTGCTGCACTTTCGTGCTACAAGCAACACACGCGCACGCCGGTACAAACTAGTGGTACTAGATCCAAAGCATACCTCTCACCCTCTACGCGTCGAGCGCCAAGGGGTGAACTCTTGTAACAAGTTGCCGGAGACGTTAGTTGAGGCGAAATCGGTGTCGAAATTCAAGAGATCCCTCGATGCCCTCTTTGCGTGTGACGGTTGTCTGAGTAAGTCTAAATGTGACGAATTTCTATCTATACCATACAACTCCCCCTAATACTCTTCTATAATCAGGTTAGTAAAGTTTTGGGTTTTCATGAGGCTGATGGCTCGCCAATGTCAACAGTTTTCTTGGTGGTATGTTGTCCTGGTGATCAGGTGCGTCAGGTACCCTCACTAGAAAATTTCATCCAATATCCTTTTGGCTTCAGCAATTGTCATCATAAGCACTTCTTATGTTATCATCACGAAGTTGAGGATATTATAGAACAACTCACGGGTCGATCGGCTCTTTCTTTTCCAAAACCTTCACGACGGCTAACACAAGGAGGATTTAACTTCCAATCAATCTCTCGTGACAACATATAGTTGGTTATCTTCTCGTGGTCCAGCTGCCTCAAGAGTCTGTGTAATGCAGATTTCGCCCAGTGAAAAATTTTGTCTATTATCGCTGTAATGACAGTCGGCCAACCGCTTTTAACCGAAAATCACGAAGATATTCACAAATATGAATCGGTATCCTTGGAATGAGAAACCTCGATTTGAACCGCTCCTGTAGGCAAGCAGCTGAATAAGCATCGCCTCCCAGCGGTCGGCACTCTCCCACACTTGAATATTTTAGCCCTCTGCGGGATCCGAGAGA